CTGTTTACATTTTCTCCTAGTTACCTCTACACGAAGTCTTCTTGTTTTGTTTTTAAACGTAGAAAAAACAAACCAGATCTCCACCAAGGTCTATTCAAACTTGTTTACGTGTCTTCGTCTGACAACTTAATTTTAAAATAACTACGCCATCGGCTGTCTGAATTAGTTTGTACATTAAGTCGATGACTTCTCGACGTTGATTTGATTTCATTTCCTAATTGCGTTTTAAAGCTTCCGTTTTTGGGGAAATTAGCTGCGTTGTCTTGAGGTTTCCGAGGTTTGTTTTGATAGTTCCCGGATTTTTCCGCAATGTCCATAAAAAGCCAGTTTCTGTTTGTGTTATTGAGACTACTTCCTGTTTAGGTTGGGAGAGTCCGACAAGGTCTTATAATAATAAATGAAACATCGACCCTGTCAATACAAGACAACACATTATGTTGAAATTTAATTTCACTGAAGGCAAAATGTTGATATTTAATGCGTCCCTCAAAACACGACATACTTAATTTCTATTAACTTTGTCTTTTTACGTGTAACATAATTTAATAAGCCTTAAAATCTTTTCATAACACGCTTTTATTTTTACAATTTAAGACGGAAAACAATCACCTGTCATTGTTCGCCCATTAGTGTCTTTTTTAATTACCACAAGGTAAGCCCACCACTTCCTATCACCTGTGTCTCCAACTGTTTTTATTCCAAGGTAGCATCAATAATTACTTTTTTTAAAATATATACTCGGAGGGAATTCATCACGAAAGCAGTAATGGCTTTTTTTTTACTGTGTATATTTGAACCTATTATCTTTTGTTTATCTTGCTCTTCTGTTTGACACAGAAACTAGTACTCGATGTGTTAAATCAACAGTCATAATGACATGTTTCACGCCGTCTCGTGGGTCCATTAGATCAGAGATCAGCATCTTTTTTTTTAAAGTAAATAACCTTTTTTATTAATTATTAATGATAAAAGTGTTAGACAACTCGCTCTAAATTATGACTAGCCCTAGCATTTAATGAACACTACTTCATCTGCCCAATGGATCTCTAGGTCTAAAGAGTAACTTAACTTAGAGTTATAGTTTGTAGAAAGTTACGTGTGCGAATTTACCACGATTTTGTTTGTTTTAAAATTGTTTTATTATCTAACTAAAATAAACATACATATTCATGCAGATCCTCCGTTTGTCGCGCATATTATCAGCGTATTGTAGTCAACACACCGATAACGAGTAAATGTAGATATGTAAACTCGTTACGCACAAAATCAAGTTTCATTAAGTTTTTATATAGACCTAGATCTAGTTCGTTTTTACACAAGTTTCATTAAGGATTTTAATAGACCTAGTTCGTTTTTATGCAACAAACCAAGTTTCTTTAAGGGATTGCATAGACCTTGTTCGTTTTTACGCACAAAACCAAGTTTCATTAAAGTTTTATATAAACCTAGTTCGTTTTTACGCACAAAACTAAGTTTCACTAAGGTTTTTATATAGACCTAGTTCGTTTTTACGCACCATGCCAGGGTTTTATGCAAAACCGCATTTGGCCTCTAAAAGTCTAGCTGATCCTAAGTTACTTGTTGGCTCTCATTGATTTCTTATTGGTCTGTAAGCGGTGTACTCAGCTGGTGATCTATGTCTGTTTTTATGGACCCTCTAGTGCAGGGGTCTCCAAACTACGGCCCGTGGGCCGGGAACTTTGCCCAGAAAAATCAAAGACATGTCTGGAACTAACTGGTCCCCGATCTGAAATTTGATAGTGAATGCGGCCCTCGGACCGAAAAGTTTGGAGACCCCTGCTCTAGTGGATCGTTCTTATTTAAATCCAAACGATATTTTCTCTTCGTTTATAGAACTAGAAATATTTACGTAAACAATATATATTTTAGTTCTCCTTTGATCACTATCTTATATTAACTCTTTGCATGAACTCCTTGCACATTTTTTTATAGACATTGAGATTAAGTGCCCCTCAGAGCCAGTTGATTTGATGCCATTCTGGGGTTAAACTTTTAAAAAATAAAGGTTACACGTTTTACGTTAATTAACGAAAGATCTTTAAATCGAAAATATGTTTTTACGATACAAACTAGCATTTCTATAAATGCTCCTAGCAGAAACCAATTTCAGCAATTTATATTTTTTTTAAATAAAAATCTGGTTAATATTTTTTTCAAACATCCGCTAAGTGATTCTCTTAGCCTAGAACGTATAAAGCATCCATCTTAAAATTCCTGATTTTCCCCACCCTAAGAAAAGAAAATCGTAAGCCGGGCTCAACTAGCTGCGAGTCCGCGAAAGCCGATGTCGGAGATCGCGTCTTCAATAAATGGACCATTGATACCGACGATGGCTCCTACGATAGACGAGCGCACAATGAGGACCTACTCGTGAACTTCCGGGCAACTCGCTTCCTCGTGGAGACCTTATCTAATCACAACCTCACGGGCCTTAAGGGGTCATAGATCGATACGACTTCCTATCAGGCGAGGGTGGGGTGCTAATGACATTTTAGAGGTGGCTAAGACTCGGGATAACTAACGATGTGATCTAAACATACATTTATTCGATTCGCCATCCCTCTCCTTCCCATACCCCTCCTCTACTGTATAGCTGTTCCTAGCCATATCGTACTTCCCATACACTCCATTTTATACACTGTCCTTTACTTATGGCAATACATCTCCCATACGCTGCCTCTTCTATACACCTCCCCATACAATTTACCCGTCCTCTCACCATACAATACACCCGTCCTCTCCCCATAAAATACACCCTTTATCCGTCCTAAACACTCGTCATCTGCCATACAATACACCCTTCCTCTCCCGGATTATACACCCTTCCTCTCCCCATACAATACACCCTTCATCTGCCCATACAATACACCCTTCCTCTCCCCATAAATACACCCTTCCTCTCCCCGTATATACACCCTTCCTCTCCCCATAAATACACCCTTTATCTGTCCTAAACACCCTTCATCTGCCCATACAATACACACTTCCTCTCCCCGTATATACACCCTTACTCTCCGAGTATTATACACCCTTCCTCTCCCCATAAATACACCTTTTATCTGTCCTAAACACCCTTCCTCTCTCCATACAGTACACCCTTCCTCTCTCCATACAGTACACCCTTCCTCTCCCCACACAATACACCCTTTATCCGTCCTATACACTCGTCATCTGTCCATACAATACACCCCTCCTCTACACGATATCACCCCTCCCCAGCTGCAGATTTCAGCATGATCTCGTATATTGATCGTAGTGCTGATATAAATATACAAGCAGATAAATATTTACTGACATGATAATCTGTCGCTAATTGACCCCCTCTGGTATTGATTTTGGCAGCAGCGTATTAATTCATTTAACTGGCTAAGCAAGCGCGTTCATTTGTAAAACACCTCTTACAGTTCTTCGACTAATGCCTATGTCGATGCGGGAGAGGGGGGTGTTGTCTCATTCACATTTACCACTAGAAACGTCTTACAATTACTTTACTACTACCTATGTTGAAGCTTTGGGTGCAGGTTTCCCTCATATCTTATACCAAAAAATTTTATAATCATTTAACTACTACCTATGTTGATTCTTTGGGTGCAGGTTCCCTTCATATCTTATACCAAAAAGGTTTTATAATTATTTAACTACTACCTGTGTTGATGCATAAGGGGGTGGGTCTTCCATATTTACTACTGTAAGGCATCACTTATGTTAATTCTTGTAAAGTCTAATGTTCATTTATGTGTAAAACAGTCACTGCTATTTACATTGAAGGCCGGTCGATATGTTTTCTAATAATGCTCCTAATACTCATAAAATTCTTCGTATGTTGGTGCGTGAAGGTGTGTATTGTACACTTAAACTACTTAGACACCTCATTAAACGACTAATACACCGTCCCTCCCTGCCTTCCTCTCGGGTTTATTCATGAAGCAGAGTTGTATGACCGCGAATAAAACCACGTTTCTGCAGTTTAATGCTCGAAAACAGGCTCATAGAAACCTTAACCCCCCCCCCCCCCAATCCATTAATGTAACCCTTCATTGCTTGCCCAGTTGCCCAGACATCCACCATATAGCCATAGTGTTGTAACCACATACATCCACCAGTTTTACCCCATCCCATCTAGCCATAGTGTTGTAACCACATACATCCACTAGTATTACCCCATCCCATATAGCCATAGTGTTGTAACCACAGGCATCCACCAGTTTTACCCCATCCCATATAGCCATAGTGTTGTAACCACAGACATCCACCAGTTTTACCCCATCCCATATAGCCATAGTGTTGTAACCACAGGCATCCACCAGTTTTACCCCATCCCATATAGCCATAGTGTTGTAACCACAGGCATCCACCAGTTTTACCCCATCCCATATAGCCATAGTGTTGTAACCACAGACATCCACCAGTTTTACCCCATCCCATATAGCCATAGTGTTGTAACCACAGGCATCCACCAGTTTTACCCCATCCCATATAGCCATAGTGTTGTAACCACAGACATCCACCAGTTTTACCCCATCCCATATAGCCGTAGTGTTGTAACCACAGACATCCACTAGTTTTACCCCACCCATATAGCCGTAGTGTTGTAACCACAGACATCCACCAGTTTTACCCCACCCATATAGCCGTAGTGTTGTAACCACAGACATCCACCAGTTTTACCCCACCCATATAGCCGTAGTGTTGTAACCACAGACATCCACCAGTTTTACCCCATCCCATATAGCCGTAGTGTTGTAACCACAGACATCCACTAGTTTTACCCCATCCCATATAGCCATAGTGTTGTAACCACAGACATCCACTAGTTTTACCCCATCCCATATAGCCATCGTGTTGTAACCCTCCACAGACATCCACCAGTTTTACCCATCCCATATGGCCATAGTGTTGTAACCCTCCACATACATCCACCAGTTTTACCCCATCCCATCTAGCCATAGTGTTGTAACCCTCCATTGCTTACCCCACAGATATCCAGGAGTTCTACGAGTCGACCCTGCTGGACGAGAACAAAACATCCCATGAAAAAACTCTGGAGACATTACGTATTGCCAGCAAGTGGGAGAGAGAGCAGCCCTTCACACACAGTCAGCCAAAAGCTGAGGTAGGTGCACCAGCCCACAAATTTATGAGTAATACAATTAGTGGTAATTATCTCCACAGCCTATGTATATTTGTTTCATGCCGTTACGGCAATTGTTATTTGACACGCAATACATAAAATCTAATCCTGACCTAGTTTTTTTTTTTAGAATTATGGAATTCAATTACCATCTAATTTTGTCAGTTTAACAATTAACATGTGTTTATTCTACGTATTCGTTATTTCTATACTCCCAAACGATTCACACATGAGACTTGTTAGTTTTTACTTGATGCACAAAGGAATACATCTAAAGCGGCGCACTGCAGTTATTTAAGGCTCACATCAACGTTCTTGTTCATAGCTGGGACCGGGTAGGACAAACTCTTGATACATTTGTACGCACACATTTTCTCTAAAGAAGGAATACTTTATCTGCTAAAACAGTATTTCCGCAAAACGCCTGCAGTCTTGTCTTAGCGGTCATTCTGTCTTGTCTTAGCGGTCATTCTGTCTTGTCTTAGCGGTCATTCGGTCTTGTCTTAGCGGTCATTCTGTCTTGTCTTAGCGGTCATTCTGTCTTGTCTTAGCGGTCATTCGGTCTTGTCTTAGCGGTCATTCTGTCTTGTCTTAGCGGTCATTCTGTCTTGTCTTAGCGGTCATTCTGTCTTGTCTTAGCGGTCATTCTGTTTTGTCTTAGCGGTCATTCTGTCTTGTCTTAGCGGTCATTCTGTCTTGTCTTAGCGGCCATTCGGTCTTGTCTTAGCAGTCACTGTCTTGTCTTAGCAGTCACTGTCTTGTAGCAGTAGCTGACTAATCTTAGCAGTCATGTAACATATCCCACATACCGTGGGAAAGCCGTTCGCGTTTCCTCTGGAAATTTTAGCTACTTTCATCATCCAGAAAGTTAACCGGATATGTTTTCATTAGGCGCCTCGTACGTGGCTGGTCCTCGGCGCCCTGCTCGATGTTTTTAAATTATCCGCTCCAGTCATGTGTTCAAGCAACGTTACGGGGTTAATGCAAGCTGTCCGATCTCGTTGGGGGTTCTCGTCCCGCGTTATCGGCCCTAAAGAGAATTATTAGTTGGCTTGGAAACACCAGCTTAGCCGCGGAATGATGTGGAGACGTACTGTATGGAGTGACCGTATATGACAAGGGGGATAATCTTACCCACAGGCCATGTACAGCACGGGAGATAATCTCACCCCACTCATGTTTGATTTTTTCATGTTTGATTTTGTGGTGTGTGCTTGACTACATTTGTTAAAACGCCGACTCTTGTAGTCTTGTAGTTGGTTGTAAGTTAGGAGAGGGTTAGTTCTTTAAACACTGGCCCTTGCAGCTGTAGCTTTTAGACGATATAGGTGGGGGTTGCTTAAACACAGGCTTGTAGTTTTGGATTCTAGGCTGGGAATGGGGGGGGGGGGGATTTTGTAGTTTTGGCTTGGAGGGGGAGGGGGGCTACTTTAAACACAGGCTTTTGTACAGAATTGTAATCGGGGATGGGGTGGGGGGGGGGCTCTTTAAACACCGGACCATGCAGGTTTAGCTTGTAGACGGGTTGATATAGGTGGGGTTTGTTTAATCGCCGGTTTTTGTAGTTTTGGATTTAGGCGGGTGGGAGGGGGGAGACTCTTTAAATACCGGCTTGTGTAGTTCAGAATTGTCGGGGGGGGGGGGGGGGTCTGTCCAAACACCGGGCCTTGTAGACACTAAATTTCCAGTGATTTTTGTCGACGTAGACAGGTCTCGATCGATAGCAGCCAATTCTGGATTCTGATTAATTTGATTTTGCTCGTTTGTCTTGAAGAATATCGATTGTTGTGTTACCCATATACACGGGTCGCGTGGCCGATCGGTCTATTTTTAGATCCTCTGTATCATTGTTGCAGCAAGTTACTGTTTGTTTTAGAACGATCCGAGTAATATATTTTGAAATGTTTAACTCACGCGTTTAAATTTGTCGAGCGCCTTGAACGGTTTTTTAATGTATCTGTGTGATCTTCTTAAAGATTAAGACATTAACAAAGGTTCCATGTGGTTGGTTGTTGACTAGTTGGTTGTTGACTAGTTGGTTGTTGACTATTTGGTTGTTGACTAGTTGGTTATTGACTAGTTGGTTGTTCTGGGATAGAATTCTGCTGTTTAGGTGGTCCATTGTCTATTTTGGTCCCTCAGCTATTTGAGTTCCTAGCTTTCACGGTCTATAGGCGCCTGTCAGCTGCTTGTCATTTGGGATGTAGCCTACAGTTAGAGTATGTAGGGACTACGTCTTAGTTCTCCGCTTACCACCACCAGGGTCAATGTAGCTCGTAGCTAATGCTACCAGGTATACTTCATTAAGGGTAGTTAAAGATAGCTCTCTCCCCCCCCCCCCCCCCCATTGATTGGTAGCTCTGGGCCCGGTAACCTTTCATATTTTTTTCATTCAGTTTTAAATACACTGGACAAGAGGGCACGTCTGAGCTAATTTTCTGCTTCTTGGAAAATGAAGAGAGACGGGCGCTTGTTATCCTCCCAATTTTTATCTCCCGATGCCTTCATGCGATGGGGGGATAAAACCTCGTCAAGACTCGGAAAACCCGTTTTCATATTTTGTTAATTACAAGTGTCATCCACCACCTCAGCCCACGTGACAGAGGTTTTAACGTTGAGAACCCCTGAAACTTTTTGTCCCAGCATTTTTTGCAACAAATTTGGCGTCAAATTAGAAAGAATAATGAGGCGTGATGCTTTAAAACTCAGCCTCTTCTTTTTTGTGTGGCTCTTAGTAAACACGAACCGTATTGGCCGTGATGCGTTCACCCAGTTCACACATCGCGCTTTCTATTTAATTACTTTTAAAAAGTAAATGGCCAGTTTTCAGTGTAGAGTGGTCTTTTGGATGAGTGATTCAGCCTTGCTCCAACTCCCCCCCCCCCCCCCACTTTGACAAATTGTCACGCAACGGTCTGCGTCTGTTGGTCACGCACGGTGCTCTAGCATTCTGAGGGTGTCCGAAAGTTATTAGGACCCTCGCTGTGTTTGGCCCGAGGTCCCGACTGGCACCTTTGTTGTGGTTTCTCGTGTTTTGGCCCACGGTCCGTCTGGCACAAAATTGTGTTTTTAGGGCCATCGGCTGAGGTCCAGGGTAGTATTCCAGACACTTCTGTCTGGCATTGACCATGTACTGGACCAAGTTGTGGCACGTAGATGGTCACTGTGCTGCTGGCACGTAGATGGTCACTGTGCTGCTGGCACGTAGATGGTCACTGTGCTGCTGGCACGTAGATGGTCACTGTGCTGCTGGCACGTAGATGGTCACTGTGCTGCTGGTACGTAGATGGTCACTGTGCTGCTGGTACGTAGATGGTCACTGCTGCTGGTACGTAGATGGTCACTGCTGCTGGCACGTAGATGGTCACTGTGCTGCTGGCACGTAGATGGTCACTGTGCTGCTGGCACGTAGATGGTCACTGTGCTGCTGGTACGTAGATGGTCACTGTGCTGCTGGCACGTAGATGGTCACTGTGCTGCTGGCACGTAGATGGTCACACTGCTGCTGGCACGTAGATGGTCACTGTGCTGCTGGCACGTAGATGGTCACTGTGCTGCTGGTACGTAGATGGTCACTGTGCTGCTGGTACGTAGATGGTCACTGTGCTGCTGGCACGTAGATGGTCACTGCTGCTGGCACGTAGATGGTCACTGTGCTGCTGGCACGTAGATGGTCACTGTGCTGCTGGCACGTAGATGGTCACTGTGCTGCCACCCTCTCCAGAGACGAGGCCTGTCGTCAGCTTGGTTCATCTGACGTCGAGTTGTTTGATCTCACGGCTTCATCGATTCACTTGATGTGAGAGTCTCGTGTTGACTGACAGGCTTCCCTGTGTTTACAATGAAAACACAACACACGTTATGAAAAGTACCGAGAGGTTCAATATATTTTTAACTACCAGTTGATTTTTATTATTTTTTGTGTACGCATTACGTCTTTAGGCATCCCAACAAGGGACACGTTGTCGCCTTTACCGTCGCTCAACACGTACATGTCAACAGTTTTGACCTGGATAAAGCGACCGTCGAAGAAGCTCTTAATCCCGTCGTTCCTTGAACCCGTCCATCAATAAGTCCAAGAAAACTGGCCTAAGAAATCTGACAATACAAATAAGACGAGTTTACACGGACTAAAAACTTACAACTCTGGTGAGACCTAGTACAGCGACGAAGTCACACCTTCCAGTAAGCTTCTTGAAGTCATGCGATACTCAACTCCCTGAAGCAACGTCAACTTTGGTTCCTGTAACAAGTTCTTTCTGTCTCATCTACTCGTGTATTGTGATATATTACAGCATACCTTATGGCCGAATCTAATACCGAATCTATGACAGATATATGTTGCGCAACTTGATTCCGTCTCGGTTCTGTTTAGGTTACATGGTTTAATCTTTCCTTTGCCTATCCGCTGAAATATAAACTAAAATACTTTAACGTTAGACACGGATAGTTGAGTGGGCTATGTGTTGTTCTAACATCCGAGAGACTGTTTTCCACACAACTAACCGCAGTTTGTAAAGCGTCAATTAGACTTTTAAAAACCTTTTACCGGTTAAAAAAACAACACATCCAAACAATGCTAGGAATTTGAGGAATTATTTACTCTGCCGGTTGAAACGTTTCCGCTGTGGTCTGTTCATTGTATACCTTCTAGCGTTACATCAGGCCCACATTATCGCATGACAACACATCTAAACACGAAGGCCAAGTTTCATCCAGTGAGATGTAGCTGATCCCTTCAAACCCCCTCTGTCGATACCAATTGCATGCGGCGTTATGTATGGCGTAGTTTTAAAAAAAAACAAATGTCTCTGTGTTACAAATAGGCGTTTCCGGTTTGAGAAGCAAGAACAACAACGTTGATGTGAGCCCGGCAGTTAGTTAATCCGTTAAAAACAATGCTAGGACACGAACTAAGTCGACTGTGTTAGGTAGTCACCAGCCTTATGAACCGTGTCTTTTCTTAATGGTGAAGACGCTTTAGTCAGTGCCGTAACAGGCACCAATCGGAGATATGCGAAGGGTGATATACCTACATGCGTAGATCTACATAAAGACCATGGTGTTATACACACTCAAGGGCGACTAAATGAGACATGAATAGCTTTCCTGTTGCATTTAATTTAGCTTTAGTCATGTCTTCAGGCATTAACCTTAGGAGATCGTGGAATAACTGTCGTAGTCTAATACTAACTTAATATTATATAAGCTTAATATGATATATTATCTATACGCATTGCTTATATATTATATATCAATATATTTGCTTATATATGAAAATGTTATATATTTATGAATATTCTATATTTAAACTCATATGCCTTGCAAATGTACCTAAAGTAGCATTAGTTAGTGCGGGTAGAATATTATGTTATATTCAGCCTACACCCGTAATCTTAGTGTTACTGATTAATTAAGGGTAATGTTAGATTATCTTTTGAGTTAATGTGTCAAAGTTTAATTATCTTTAGTAATAGCGCTTTGGTTAAGGTGTGATACAACTAGATGAATACTTTAACCGCCTTTACTCTGCGGGTAAATGAAGTAGTAATTTGTGAACAAAGTAACTTATCACAAGTAATATAACTAGCTGTATTTATTTACTAATTACTTGAACAAATCCAAAACAAATAATTATTTTAAAAAGAAAACAGTAGTTTAGAAGTTGTTGTTTTCATTTTGCCTGTGGTACTTATATAATCATAGTAGATCTAGTACAAAATGATTAGAATTTTTTTACTGATTGATCTATTGCATGCACATATTTATTAGCATCCGGTGTGAACGAGGCTCCAACTAGTGTGTACATGATATACAGGTTGTTTAGAGTAGCCTTACATGCCATGTTTAAACTTGTAGAACTGTGGTGCATGCTGTTGTTGCATCATTCCAGCCTCCTCCTCCACCACCACCTACGTCATCACGACCACCGCCACCACCCGTGGCCCCACGGCCCGCGCGGCCCCATTACGACTCGGACGAAGACAGCGTGAGCAGGGAGCCGGCCATCAACTGGAACACCCACCCCGAGTTCGCTCCTGTAATTTCCAGTACCCTTAAAGTGCATACGCTTTTTTACTCACATTTTATTTTGCTGTAGTCATCCCCCCTCCTCACCCTGTGTTTGATCTTGTGACCTAACTCCCCCATCTCCCCTAGTCATGCTTTGATATTGTTTATGTCTAACACCGCTGCTTTCTAGTCATAATACACATGCACGCATTGCTGTTTTAAATGTTGCACGGGACCCGCTTGCTGGGAACGCTGTCATTATCTGTTATGTTTGGCCTAAGCACTTTTTTTTTTACCTTTCTAACGCTGGGTCGTTGATTTGATCAACGCACTTAATTACTAATAATACAGTTTATTCTAATGCTTTTTTTTCCCCACTGAACATTTAATGTGTTCAGTTCATTGTTATTCTTTGTTTGCGTTTTTTATTACAGTTCTAAACTAACCAACTTGACTAGTATTAATTTATCAAAAATTTTCCTGGCATGTTTTTAGTTTGCTGACCTGAAATTTTAACTAACTAATCTGTATTGTGGATGGCAATCCGTTTATCTAGACGTTAAACGGGTCACCGTCCACAGCCCTCGTTTTTTTGTGTGTTGCTATGTTTGTCTGTTGTTCGTGTATTTTGGTTTTTTATCCTCGTGCTTGCTGGTCGTCTACCACAGGCGCCTCGTATTGTGCTCGGTGATGGTCAGCTGGTCAGTCGCGTCGTGTGTACCGACGGCTTGACATCCGCTATCACGCGGTGGTTGAATGCCGATCCTCGGCCTTGGTCAAACAACGTGGTTTACTCTACCTGCCGGATCACCGCTAGCCGACGTAACACAGGTGAACCTCATCGGTTTGTCGCGGACTAGCCACTACCTTTATCTCACCTGTGCGGTGGCGGGGAATTTAGCCCCGGGGCAAACGAGAAATCAGTCAGACCCTTATACCAAATCCATTGCCTACGAAACATTAGTAATTCAACAGCATTTTCTTAGAGGAATAGTTTTTATAATTTTTAAAAAAATGTTTTTACATCACTTTAGACAATGTAGGAATTTTTAAAGAATTCGTTCCATTCTTGACAAGTGTCAGCGTCGGGTTTTTTTTTATTGGTCACGGTTCCCTGCACAGGGAGGGAGAACACGTGGACCCTGTGTTTACCACGTGTTTCACCCACAAGATTTAGGGCTATCGGTTTACCGTTAGTGTTTCTTTGACCTACACACCACCAATGGCATTTCAATATGTCCGACACCTCATTCATTTGAGGCAGTGTTTTAAGTAGCTCTAACGACATGTACCATTTATAAACCATGCCATTCAAATGTTGTTTTTTTTTCAAATGTTTTTACTGCTTTTGAGAAACATTTTTTTTTATTAAAATAAAACACGTTTTCTGCATAGGTTACTTACCCTCGACAATCACTTCGTTAAACGTGGTAGATCTAACCGTGTAGCGAATGGTCTCGTACAGTGCTGTGGTGTGAAGAACACTTGAACTTATAGATAACGCATTATCAGTAGTTAAGGAAGACGCTTAAGTGCCCGTAACTTTGTGATCTACAAATTTTTTAACAGTACGCCGGCAAGATAAATCGCTATAGCTGTATAATGTTCGTGGTATTTTAACGCGTATGAATTATGTATAGAACTATTATCAGCTCAGTTTTAGAGAATATACAGCGATAGCTGCTAGGAGTATTAGAAATTCTATGTGTGTTTCTTGTTTGTTTGTTTTTACACATAAAATCATACCAGTATCTGGTACTATAATGCCTATAACCGAACGTTGTTTAAATTGTTAACTTTTCAGCGAGTTTTAATAATAATTGAAGTTACAAAAACGTAAATAAAAGAATAGAGTCGAAGTTGGATGACCAATCATGCGTGAAGATCGTGTGTGACCTGGCCATCCTCCCGACACGCATGAGCTCATCCGTATCGATCCTTTACCAGTGGTGACCCGGATGACAACGTTGTTTAAATTTCAAACTGGCGTCATTGACACTGTTTGTACCCTATCCGCCGGTGTTGTCCTGCATCAGTAATGGCATCCTGGATAGCGGCACTGTTTACTTCAGGGGGGGGGGGGGGCGACTTTTACAGTGGCTGGGCGCGAATGCTATTTCTTGATGCAGGACTTCCTTCTAAAAACTAAAATGCACTTTAGTCTAACGACTTGTCTTCGATAGTGAATGTAAAAAAAAAAAAATTAATGCAGTGGCTTATGGGGGGGGGGGGGGGGGGGCTTGGAACAGCAAACCAACCAGTATTGGCATTTTGCTTACTAAATCAATACATAGATAAATGAATATTGAGATTATATATATATATATATATATATATATATATATATATATATATATATATATATATATATATATAATGTGTGTTTGTTTATGTATATATGTTTGTGTATGTATACGTGTATATATGTGTGTGCATATGTATGTATGTGCACATACATACACCTGAGCAGCAATTGAATAAGCCGAATGTCACTGTAAGAATATGAGGAGCTTTCCCCTCCTACACATCCTACCTGTGATTTTTATTTTTTACATTTAACCCCATAACCCCGTGTTGACTTGTGTTGTCACTTAACTCTATTAATTCTCTGTTGTGCTTTACTTCTTTTGCTACACTGTGTGTTGCTAAACAGCGAAACTAGGTGGACATGCAATCAATTTTAAACTGTCGAGAAACGGAGAAATAATGAGTGAAAAACGATCGAGTTTCTCCTACCTCACAATATGATATCATGTCAAAGATTTTTGTTGTAATAACATATGCATGCTAATATTGATTTTTAGACCAGTCTTGTCAAAACATTTTTTAAACAGGATAGTAGTTTTAACGAACATTATTCAGCAGAAATGTTTATAATACGGCTTACGTTATACAATAGTTAATATTTTATACAATAAGCATTATACAGCAGTAAACTTTATATACAGTAGAGTAAGCATTATATAATAGTAAACCTTTTATGTAGTGCACATACAACTGAAAACTGGATAGCAAACAAAACACAACAAATATCTATTTGTATAATAAACATTAAATTAAACTCAAAAATAAAACTAAATGTTGTTTTATATAGCAAATATTATATATTGTAGAAAAATGACAGGTTTGGCCAGCTTTGGAGTTGTCCACATTGCCGACGGCCACTACGACCTCGGCGTTTTATGACGCTAGATCATGTATTATGTATGCTTCATCCCTTTCATTTGTCGCAGGCCTCGGGTTTTCTAGCCTCTTGGTGGTGTGGACATGTCTATTCAGCACTCGAGATTTTTTTGGTTTGAATACGTTGCGGTGTCGTTGTTATAATGAACTTTTAAACGTATTGATAACAAAGATGAAGCTAACAGGTCCAAACTCGTTAGCTTTTATTTAACGTATTAATCCCAACTTTGCAGCTAGACTTACGTTAAAATGTCCAAACTAAAGTTCATCACAAAACAGATACATATCTTTGCTTTAATCCGGAGACAAATCCTTACAAAACTACAGCCTCCCATCCAGAAGCGTAGCGACCCTTCCCGGCGCCCGGGGACAAATTTCGATTTGCACCCCCCCCCCCCCCCCCAAACTTTTGATTTGCATCCCCCTCAAACTTTTGATTTGCATCCCCCTTCAAACTTTCGATTACTTTTTCCAACCCATTTTGCCCCCCCCCCCCTAAGGTCGGCGCCCGGGGACATGTGTCTGCCCCCCCCCCCCCCATCGCTACGCCTCTGCTCCCATCATCTTCATAGAATAAACAAATACACATGTAAACTTTAAATGAAGAATACAAATTACAAATTCTGGTCAATCCCACCAGTAAAATACCTTACCTAAACGACACCAGTGGACATGTCGGGAAGCTTTTACCCAGTAACGACGGGGATTCTGGTCTCCGCTGATCAAAGTCCTGTTCTAACACATCTTTTCAATGGCAATAATGGCGGGCTAATGGTATTAACTTTCTCCAAAGTAGTACGATCAATATCGGTCAAGTCAAATGGTAGGATTACTTCCGGTATTGACCTTTCCATCTTCCTCTTTAACAATACCATTTTTTAATCAACTTGAATCGACATTTGGCTATTTATTTCTAACTGTTTAATACGAAAATCTTTCTTTTTATCAATACACATTAGAAACGTTTAAAATTACTAGTTAATGAATATATTAATCGTATACAGGTTTGGCGTCAGTCTGATCCTGGAAGGTAAAAAAAAAGTTAAATGACAATTTATTCTCATGAATTTTTTTTTTAAATTATTGCTAACCTTTGTTTATTTTATTACCTTTTTTTGTTTAATGTTGTTTTTTTCTCTCTTCTCTCTCCTGTTGTGTTGACGATTCATGTTTATTGTGATCGTTAAAAATTAAGGACCTTAAAATATTTCTTTAAATCAGCAGATTTCTTATTGCGTGATTTTAAAAATGTAATCGGTTATTATTGAGTAATTTTAATTATAAGGATATTACTACTGACCATTAGTTTACGGCAACGTACACTCTTGTATAGTTTTTAAAAATTAAACATTGTGCATTCTTTTTGAAACACAATCCACAATTTTTAAAATGTTTCTGTTTTCTTTTTGCTTACTTAAATTTTAACTTCAAACAAAAAGTAAATAGTAACCCGCTCTTTTATGCGGCAAGAATAATTCATCCACCGTGTAGTTCTTATATTTTAAATAAATTCTCTAATTGATGTTGTGTAAAATACAAAGAAAACTGCAAACATTGAACATTTCCTTGGGCGAGAGAACTCTTGCTGTAAAGGCGCTTTGGGACGTCAGCTAAAGGGCAGTAACCTGTTTAATTTCAGCGCCACAATGCAGTAGACGAGGACCTGCCCCCGCCTCCACCAGAGTTATCCCACCGCTCCGTCTCGTCCCCCCTGGTTGAGGAGAGACCAACTGCTCACGTCCAGTCTTCCAACCGCTCATACGACAAACAACTGCCCCATGCGGTAAGTGCTGCTTTCATCTGCATGTCACCGTGTAACAGCCACACACACATACATATAACTGTAACACACTTCCGGTCCATGGTACAGTAGCCTATATGCTTATATATTATGTGTGGGCATGTATGTTGTTACACTTTTTAAAAAAACACCGTTGTAATTGCTACCCACCTTTCTGCACACAATATCAACACATGCTTTCATTTTCTTTAACTGAATAAAGGTATTTAAAGTTTTAAACCGATGCTATAGTTATTGTAATCACGCCAATGAACATTCCTCATATACGTATGATACTAAATTATGCCTGGATAATATTTTATCATTGGGTTAAGATATTACTACAAAAAGTTGAGTAAAATATGAGTTTTTGACCTTACATTAAACTGCATACTAAAACAATTGGTTATGATGCTATATTCAAACATCTTACTCATGTGCAATGTTACTTCTCAATGTAAACTGGTTGCAATGTCTAGTTTAATGCTGTATTTATTTACTATCTAGTAATTTATATAAATAAATGTAGGAAAGAGATTGTTATAAATGTTAGTCACTAAAAAAAATATTGTATCTACTTTCTTCAAAAAATGTAAATATTACTAAATATGTACATACTTTAAAAATGAGTTTGAAAACAAAATCAATATCTTCCACTTAGCTGATGCAGCACTAGTTAGAACAAATGTATTTTGGCTGTGTAATCTTAGCTTTCTAAAGACTCAACGAAAACAAATCCCTTTTGCTGAAGATTACAGGGATATTTTCTCAAAGGCTGGAGTAAAAGGGAGATAAGTTGCTAGAAGCTTGGGAACCTGCAAAGGGGGAAAACAATTTTCTAACTAAAAATATTAGAAAATGTAGAATTATTTCCCCTTTGCCACTTTCATGACTCGCAGCACTATGTCGCTAGACATGTTTTGTTTTTGTTTTTATAAAAAAAAAAAAAAAAACTACTCAACAGACTAACAAACATTTCACAATGTTGTACTGAACTACCTCAAGTATCTGTCGGTTAAAATAACCGATGAACCACTCTAAAATAAACCGCTAGATCGATATTTTGTATTACGTTCGTGTTTTGGCCCATCACTCTACCCCCCTTCCCCCCTCCCCCTCCCCACCAGCCGATTCCGCTTTTTGAGCTAGTGCTGGCGGCATCAACTCATTTCCACCTTGCCACGCATGCCATTGTCACTGTGTCCATTGTCTGCTACTATCTCATCTTCCTCTACCCCCACCGTTATCTCTAACCCTCCCCCACCCCCCTCAGCGACTACCCCCACCCACAGCGTGGTGTATCGATTAGCGAGAGCACAAGAGCAAGGCGGTGTCCATTGGTTTCAACTCTGGCAATTTTGTGGGTGAGTGCCACCCGGTTTGTTCTAGCCACGCTTCTGTCATCATCGTCGCTAATGAGGAAATCACCGGCTTACTGACACCTTGACATTTTTTTTTTCTCTCTTGGCACCCTCCCCCCGGAGCGGTGCTCGGCTCTCACGGATACACTCGTTCTCCTCCTCGGTGTGTGTGTGTGTGTGCGCGCCACGCTGATGCTCCGTCACGAGAAATTGGATTCTAAACTCGTTGTTAACACAGGGAGAATAAAAACATTGTTTTATTAAAAGTTTGCTTCCTTCGGGATAGATCTACAAGCGGTAAAAACATAGGCATACTGTGTTGCGTATTTCATTGGATGGTGATTTTTTTTTTCAGCATACGTCGCCCGTGTGATTTTAGTTTTCTTGAAAGAGTTTTGGTTGGAGAAGTGTGTGATAAACACGAGATAGTAGGTTTGTTTAGAAGTATTGTCGCGCTGTAAGTCTATCATATTTTCATGTCGATCTATTTTATAACTCGACCAGTATAATTCGTAATCCCAAGCCATTGGAAAGGCCTGCCAATATAATAATTAGAAGTCTAGCTCTTTGGTACGTTTTTAAACGGCTTGATCGTCTAGCAAGTAATGTCTAGTTGTATTCTACCGACTTTATATCTTAATACTGGTCATTTAGCCAGTAAGGTTTAGTTCTGTTCTACCTATTTTATCTATACTGGTCATCTAGCCTGTAATGTCTAGTACTGTTGTACCCACCTTATCTCTAAATACCGGCCATCTAGCTAGTACTGTTGTACCTACTGGTCATCTAGCCAGTAATGTCTAGTTGTGTTCTACCTACTTAATATGTTAATACTGGTCATCTAGCCAGTATGTCCAGCACTGTTGTACCCACTTTATCTCTACTGGTCATCTAGCCAGTAATGTCCAGCACTGTTGTACGCACTTTATCTCTACTGGTCATCTAGCCAATAATGTCCAGCACTGTTGAACCCACTTTATCTCTACTGGTCATCTAGCTAGCCAGTAATGTCCAGCACTGTTGTACCCACCTTACCCTCATGGTCATATAGCCAGTAATGTCCAGCACTGTTGTGCCCACTTTACTGGTCATCTAGCCAGTAATGTCCAGCACTGTTGTACTCACTTTATCTCTACTGGTCATCTAGTCAGTAATGTCCAGCACTGTTGTACCCACTTTATCTCTACTGGTCATCTAGCCAGTAATGTCCAGTACTGGTGTACCCACTTAATCTCTACTGGTCATCTAGCCAGTAATGTCCAGTACTGTTGTACCCACTTTATCTCTACTGGTCATCTAGCCAGTAATGTCCAGCACTGTTGTACCCACTTTATCTCTACTGGTCATCTAGCCAGTAATGTCCAGCACTGTTGTACCCACCTAACCCTCAATGCCTTCAGCAGCTTGGTCACCGACCGTTACAAGACATCTGCCGTGTGTCGAGCCCAGATAATAATCATTAAAAAAGTTTTAAAAAACCCACGTTTTCTGATTGAACTAAAAAGTAGAAAATAAATACTATACATACAATAATGCAAGCGATCACTCTACTATAAGCTATCAAAAACGTGGGGCGCCGTGATTTTCTTACAGTTTCTAATACTGTTGACTCTCTACAAGCTCCCTAATAAAAGTCAATAGTATTATCTAATCAATAGTAATATAACTTTTACTTCGGCGACCCACGTTTTTGATAGCTTATAGTAGAGTGATCGCTTGCATTATTGTATGTATAGTATTTATTTTCTACTTTTTAGTTCAATCAGAAAACGTGGGTTTTTTAAAACTTTTTTAATGATTATTATTTTCTACTTTTTAGTCTTTGTCTGTTTGTTTGCATTAAAATCTTGCTATCGATTTTATCTTTTCACTTTTTTTTGGGTAAACGAAGACAACTCGTAAAAAGACAACTCGTAAAAAGACAACTCGTAAAAAGACAACTCGTAAAAAACATGTTGTTTGAATACGTTACTGACTAGAACACATAGATTTGAACCCGTGTCGAGTGGGATAGCAATCGTGTGCCCAACCACTCGACCATATCGTCTCCCCCAAACTGGCCTACCTCCTGTAAGTTTAAACTCGGTTCAAGCTAAATTCTCTGCCCCTAAGCCTGTGGCGACATGTGATCGTTCGCTTCACTGCGCGCGAGGTACGCGTCGCTGGTTTTTTTTCTAATGGCTAGCAGAGGATAATTATATATATAGATTATATAGCGGTCTAAAATGCTCAATACAATGTTTCCATTGATCAATTTAGTAATAATAACAATTGAATATTCAATGGTCATCCAAAAGAAAGCTTCCCTGAAAATTTCAGCGCGCTAGCTAACTGGGAAGTGCCAGAAATTTCGATCGCAAGATTTGATTGGAAAGACAAACAAACACACAAACAGAGAAAGCAAGTTAAAGAAAACGTGGGAATAAAAACAATTCCCGCTCACACAGCGTGAGGAATCTAGTGCATTTTTGATGACACTATTGCCGGGTACCGGAGTGGGAACAGATCACAGATACCACAGATAGAACTAGCGGGGGAAAGATTGGTAGATACAGACGTTTGACGCGGAGTTGAATTATTCACAAGCATCGTCGTCGGGATACAAGTGACTTTGACGGTGCTGGGCGTCCACACGCGTGTCCACCCTGGGCCTGTCAGTCAGATGATGGTCGTCCCTACCCACCCCCTCGTGCGTGTTAACACAGTAGTGTAGGCGTTATCCCCACAATAACGTTTGTGTTACTGTGTAATGTATAAATCGTTTTTAAGACTTTAAAACATCGTGTGTGGAATTTCGTGCATGTTCTTAAAAATTTTGAGCGGTTTTAGAAGTAATTATCTTAACAACTAATTAAAAGTAATCCCTGTGATCAGTCCTGCCGGGTGTAAAGTTTACACTTTCTTTATTTGAAAGCTTCCCTGGCTGAACATAATTTTTACCTGGTGAGTTTAATCACTGGAATGTAACGTTATTTAAAACGTGAGTAGTTGTTTACCAAAACGCCTCACCGACGCACGTGCTAGAACGTGCACTGAAAACTCTACCCCACCCCCCCCCCTTCTCCCCACCCTCTCTCTTGTAATCTAGGTAATGACCGCTGTTTGGATCTATATCCAGCTCACCCTGCATACCCCACTAACATACTCGATCAGTTCAAACCCTCTCCCCCCCATCCCCCAGTCACCGTGTGATTGAATTGTTTACCAACGGCCGCTCGCCTTATGCCAAGGACCTGTTGTCTGTCAGCGTTTGGCTGTGGTCACCGTCACTCCACGCGACCCGCGGACCTTTGAAAGCCTGACCATATCTTGTGTGTCGACATTTTTCGTGTCATGAAAAATTAATTCATCCTTATTGATTCGCCCCGTCTCCACTTGCAGTCGCCTCTAGGGGGATGTGCTTCTCTCCACTCTGGAAGAACTAATGAACGCCTGTTAAAACTTTAACCCGGTCACACAACGTGCAGATGTTTCTCTTGTCAACATCCTTAATTTAATTATCCCCGCGTGCCTCTTACATGCTTGTACACATGCTTTTTATTAGTTTTGTTTTTTAATCTCTTACAGTATTTACAGGACAGACTTTTTGGTTTTCCTAATATTTTACACTAAAATTGTTTTTTTTTTAAAAATCTGGGCTGT